GACCTCCAAGGTGGTTGCGGTGAGAGATTTTTTCTGTGCGTTGTTGAACAATAAAAGATAGTGCTCAATGCACATGTTAATGGCTGCTAAGGGGGAATGAGAGACAGGAGCATTCGGCCTTTAGGTAACGCGCACGCTGCGATCCCCATTAGCAGCTATTGGCATGTACATTGAGCACGATCTGACAAGAAAGGGTTGCTACGTTATACTCGCGGGGTGTAACCTCCTTGTTTTAGAAAGGTTTAGCGAGCGTTGGGCCGCATAGCCATGAATACAGTGAACTAGTATATACCATGAACTCGAGGTGGTTAAAGGTGAGAAGTAAACCCGAAGCGCAAGCCGTAAGAAAGTGTGCATGTGCCACCTCCTGTTTAGTCCTTGAAATGTCCGCTGGATGGCGGTGCTTCTATATGGGGAATATATGATGAAAAGATGCGAGATGGTGGTACTTGGAGTGCTGAATAGATGGACGAACGGACGCACAGACAGATGCATGGATGGACGCATGCACGACTGCAGGGGCGGATGCATGGACGAACGCAGGGACGGACGCACGAACAAACGCACGCACGGACGGGTGGATGGACGCATGGACGGTTACACAGACGCAGGCAGGAACGGACGGAAGCAAGAACGAATGGACGGACGAATGCTTCGCCCCACTCCCCATCATTCACTCCGTGGATATGCTGCCATTTTTTTTCTAATATTTTATTTACGTCTTTCTCGATTTTTCGGTCACCGACAAGAAGCTTTGTCGCCCACTACCAACAACGCGGACGCCGGAATATCTGCGAAACAAGCTCTTCAACGCTATCGCTTTAAAATGCAGCAAGAGAGGACAGCGGTTCTAAACTTTTCAGCTTATTAGGGCGTGCCCTTTCAGCGCAGTACTTTTGTGTGGTGTGAACAGGCGTAGTAAGCTTAGGAAGAGGCTACCCGCGGCCACAGGTCACAACACATCTGGTTGGTTAACTATACACACGCGTGCGCGCACCTTGTGTTTACGAGTACTAGTATTGACTCTCACGTCTAAGAACTTCACTGGCAATCATTCACAGCTGTTAGTAATGTCACTGCGGCCCTGAGAAACAATAATTCACAATGTACGCCAGTTTTATTCCGCCGCATACTTTTTTTCCAAATCTTCTCGTGATAGGAATTTTGGATGATAAGGACTATTTTTTATGAGCCCACAAGATCCGCATCACCGATTTTTCACTGCAGCTTAAGACTAATATCAATAGCGCCAAAATGAAGCTTACACCTGAGCACAAAAACATGCTAGAGTGTTAAGATATGGCCTCCTGAGGGCGTCTGACTGTAGAGACCTCTAACGGTACTTGTAGACTCTGAGCCATTGTTTGGTTTTCGAACCTTCCGCAACGAATCACGTGCTCGACCATTCTACAGCCGTCATTGCGGAGCCGCCACTTTCTGACCACTCGTGTGAACGTAATGCAAATACCTTTGAATGACGAGCAAGCACTAATCACGCACATAAGTTCGACGCCACATGTTATCAATAAACATTTGTGAGTAAAGCGGGCATCGTTCAACAACCGTAAAAATGAGAAACCGAAGTGCGATATGTAATGTGTCCAATAATGTGCCAGGCAGGCGCTACAGAAAATCGATGAAAATTAAACCGGCATGCTTTGTTCATTTCAGGCATAAGCTCGAGCGAAGAGTGTGGCCACATAGAGAAAAGCGCGCTTTCCTGTACGTCATTATTTCTCAAGAATGGTGTTTACATTATGTGATCTTTTAGAAGGAGCTCTTCAGAAGTACCAGCTACATACCACACACGGAGGATCCTATACATAGACCGTAAGGGTTACAAATGTGCAGATGCGCATATAACTGGTCCCCCTCCCCGGTGAAATTCTATAATTAGAACAGCTAAACTCTTATTCGCTGTCCTCTCAGCCGCGTACCAAAAAAAAAAAAAAAAAACGGGGTGTGCAATCATTAGAAACCCACAGTTGGTGCACAAGTGCTTCAGAAAAGCGAGTAGACCTATACTATTCTCCGGAAAAGAAACAAAAGCGAGTACGTATTGCATACTTCCAGTTCTAAAAGCAATGAACTGAAATTTTATCTTTAGGACCCGACAGCGAAATCATTCATGAATTCTTTACTTATTCAGGTGACACTCTCAATTTTTTTCTGAGCCGAGCAACATAGAAGATTATTGTGTCTAAGCATATACGTGCAAACAAGAAATGGAACGTTAGACTCTGCACAGCCGCGTTATTGTCGTGCCTGTGCGTAACGTTAAACCTTCATTGACAAACGCTGCTGTTCTCGAATTAATTGCTCAAGCTTATTAGACAACGAAAGCTGAGTGCTAGTGGTTTTTTTTCTACTTTCACAGCTTACGTTTGTCTATAATTCATACTGTTTTGTGTATATATATATATGTGTGTTATGCGCCATAAGGCCGGATGCAGATTCATAGCCAGACGTCACTTGGCCTATGGCTCTTCCCTTTCGTGGCAACGTACACATTGGTCGGTATGTGCCTATTGACGCTTCTTTTCATTATTCGCAATTTCCTATGAACTGGAGCAGTGTGTTATGGGATCTCGTAAGCGATGTAATCGACGAATCAGTTAGAGTCGCATCATGCCTGTATCTCCCTATGAAACATGTTCGCATGACACGACACAAATAAGGTGTGAGCGTGTGTGTGTTTGTGTATGCGTGCGTGTGTGCGGGTGTGTGTGTGTGTGTGTGTTTGTGTGCGTGAGTGTTTGTGTATATATGTGTGCGTGTGTGTGTTTGTGTGTGCGTGTGTGTGCGCGCGGCGTGTGTGTTTGTGTGTGGGCGCGTGTGTGCGCACATTTGTGTGTGAGTGTGTGTGTCTTTGCGTATGTGTGCGTGCGCGTGTGTGCGCGCGTGTGTCTTTGTGTGTGTGTGTGTGTGTGTATGTGTGTCTGTGTAAGCGTGCGCGTGTGTGTGCATTCGTGCGTGTGTGTGTTACTATAGTGCGCACATTGATGTGTGTTGACTGAACTGAAGGCGACGGGGCTTTTCTCTTTTTGTGTCAATGTCACGGCGTTTAAACATCATGACTCTCGAAGATCCTAAAACAAAAGCGCTATTGACGTCGTTAAAGAAGAGAAACTCATATATTTTCGATTTTGTTTCTTCTATATATCCTAGGTCGCCGTGGTGCAGTTATTTCACCCGGCTGCTTTCACGGAATATTTCCCCTCCGTAATCGAAGGTTAATGAGCGCTAATTACAGACATCATTTGGCGTTCATATAGCGATTAAAACAACGCCTGCCCTGGTCTGACAAACTGTCGTTTTCTTTCATTGTTTGCTTTTTTTCTGAAAGGAGAGAAGGAGAGAGAGAGAGAAAAATGGCAATATGCATCAAGGTTAGTTCGTATTTTTCCAAAATTAGTGGACGCATGCTGACTCAAGCTTTACCCGTGGGCACAACAGGGTATTCATTTTCTCGTTTTCCTTTAATTACCTATGCTGATGGTGTTTACCACTTCGCCGGCTGTACCGCAGTAAGTAAAGCCATAGGTGCCATATGCGCCACATAAGGTATCCACTTTCGTTTTTAGGAAACTATCTGGTTCCACACGACCCCGCACACGGTTAGCGCTCAAGCAAAGTCTACGGACGAACTCATATTGACGTCCAGTCATGCCTATATTACAATGTGCCTACAGGCCGCAGCAATAGGTATTTTTTTTTTATTTTATTACTTAGACGAAGGAAGAACAGTTGCTTGCTTTCTTTGGCTACAAATTCACTTTAAGGTGTGCATTGCAGAGAAAAATGATAATTATTCGGCATTAACCATTCATATTTTAGGTTTGCTTTTTTAAACAGCTGTTTTGTGGTCTGCCACACAGTGCAAAATATTTGTGCTGCTATATCTACCTTCCGCACAAGATGCTCCCATTTGTTTTCTATTTCTGTATTTTTTGTAGTTAAAATACAGAATCAAAACACAAAATATATATTTTAACACACACAGCTCTAGTGAAGCAGCTTCAAAAAAATCTGCCACACATACTCTGAGAAAGTTACAAATGGAGTCGCTTTGTTGGGGTTTTTTGGCGCTCATGAAGAAAATGTACAGTAGTTTGTCTCTCTCTCTCTCTCTAGAATATTTCAGAAATCAGCTAAGGAGATGAAATGACCTGCATTCAATCCTAATAAATGAAGAGAGGTGACATTCAATGGTCCTTCTTCAACTCCTCGACTTCATAATGTAATCAACGCGTATGAATCACAATACTTTAATATCTAGACATCTAGAAACTTTATAACTATACATGACCATAAGCCGTCATAATGATGAATTTTAAAAGCAAGCGTCACACGCGTTTTCGCGGAAGACAGCGCTTGAATAATGTTTACAATCTGTCTAAAGTGTTTCAGCTAAATTTATCGTTTGGGATTAAAGCCTATAGCTCGCTTACGTACCATTGCTCGATGGAAGCAAATACTATAGATGAGCCAGTCATTGTTAGTAGGCGCCGTATATCTTCCACCTTCATTTGTGCGAATAAATTTGTTTCACCAGACCAATGAATTTACAATGCCTCATTTCCTTTACCACCCAGCCACTTCTCATATCTCGTATGCTGCTCACCATATGAAGGCCGGCGCTTTATAGGGTAACAGCAACATTTACCTTGAAGCCCTGTCACCTAAAATAAGACTGGCTTTTCGCCTCCCTTGTGAACATCACTGATCATGACGCATTCAAGTTTGCTGTGCGTGCTGCTTTATAAGCCTTCTGTTCTGCCATATTTTCCTTTAACATCAGTGCGGCCTTGTCAGTATAAATGAAAGAAAACGAATTGAAACTACGCTCACATTTCCGAAGAAAGACAATTACTAGCTGTCATGAAATATAATCAGGCTGAACCTGGCGCCAGACGAACTCGATGATTGATATAGCGCGGTGTTCTACTTTAATATTGTTCACGACTGCGGATACATGCAGAGAGAAGCGCGCGTATTACCGAGTGGCCGCTCCTGTGTCTTAGACGGCGTGCGGACGACGGGCAGGCTGGCGCGGGCCTTGGTGGCCCTGCGCAGGCCCGTGGCCGAGGTCTCCACCTCGGACATGATGCCCGGGTCCTCGTCGTACACGCTGGCCGGCGGCTGGTACATCGGGGGGCCCACCATGCGCCCGCCGCCGCCCACGGGCGCGCCCAGGTGGCTCTGGAAGCACGCAGAGACGACAGTGTCAGTGAACTTCTCTGGTTTAGAGAGTTCTTCCTCGCCCGCAACAGAGCGAGGAAGAACCACTGAGGTAGAATATAAAAGTTGATATCCCAGTTTGAGTCAAAGCTCCCACTTGCCACTCAGCGATTGTAAAACGAAATGAGTTTAAAGAACGAAAGACGAAGTGCAGTTCAATATAAAAATGGTGGCAAATATTAACGTACATGGCCACACCAACGTTTCAATGTCCAGACATGCTCTCGAGCAAAATTTTATGATGGTCTTGATAACTCAACGTTCACTGCAAGGCAGATTTTGGGCTTCAAGCCAAGTCTTGGGCAATACAGCACTGAATTTCTTCTCCTTTCATTCTTCACACAAGTACCCTGCAGAGTGGGCAGCAGAAACAGAAATTGTTCACCTTTTATCGCTCAACTGTCCAGTACTTCAAATGCGCAAGCCATGGGTTTCTTTAATTGGAAGATTGCCACTTCCCTATAGGAGAACGTATGTACAGTCCTGGTCAATAGTCCAAATGCCACACTTACGTAGAAGTGCATGGAATAGTCGCTTGGAAACCTATGCCCCCAATCTGTACATACTGCCACAGCCACAGCTTGCACTATAGTGCTGCAAACCACCAGCAGAGCTAGTGCTCGATCTATCCAGGGTTCTATATTCGATTGAGGTGTGCTGCCATCTTCGGCGGATAGGTGATTGTTTTGTCCACTTTAAATATCGTGATATAAAATGATCATAGTCGTGAAACGCTTAATGCACCGGCTTTAGCATTTTTATGCGGAGGAGTTTACCGTACCACTTTTTGTTTATTTGACACGCATACAAAATTATTACGCCATAAGTCCAAGATGGCCCCACTTGAGCGCGTTCAGAAATATATATAGAAGCAATTGATTCGATCGTGGTATGCAACAAACAATATGAAATAGTGAGGAGAGTATTGAACAGCAATAAACGCAGAGAAACGACTAATCACAATGTACATGAAAGGTTAATACAAAGATGTTCATTCCAGGGGATTTCCGTCATATCTATGTTTCAATAAGTGTTTAATGATTTAGAGTACTTGGTTTTCTACTACAGGAGAGCAGAAAGCCGTCCCGTGGTCACGCGGAAAATGTGTGTGAAGAGAAAGTGGTTAACAATTTAGAATACTCGGTACTCTATTAAGGGAGAGCTGACAGCCATCCCTTGGGCTGCACAAAACGCTGAAAACGTGTGTTTGGAAAATTAAGCCGTCCCTGGGTGAGCGCCACAGCGATTGTACTGACAGCGCTTTTTTAGGGGCGAAGTTCCCTAAAGCAGCACCCAATCGTTTCTCGTAGTAGTCGTAGTCGTAGTCGTAGTGTGTAACCAGTCTTACGTATTGACCTGCAAGGTGGTGCCGGTGGGAGATTTCTCCTGTGCGTTCTTGAACAATTAAAAATTCGCAGCGTGCGCGTTAACTAAAAGCCGAATTCTCCTGTCTCTCATTCCCAATTAGCTGCCAATGGCATGTACATTGAGCACTATCTGACAAGAAAGGGTTGCTACGTTATACTCGCTGGGATAACCTCCTTGGTTTTAGAAAGGTTTAGCGAGCGTTGGGCCGCAGTGCCATGAATGCAGTGAACTAGTATATGCCATGAACTCGAGGTGGCTAAAGGTGGAAAGTAGACTCGAAGCGCAAGCCGTAAGAAAGTGTGCGTGTACCACCTCTCGTTTAGTCCTTAAAATGTCCGCTGGATGGCGGTGCTTCTATATGGGGAATATTTGATGAAAAGATGCGAGATGGTGGTACTTGGAATCTTGAATATATAGATGGACGAACGGACACACAGACAGAGGCATGGATGGACGCATGAACGGACGCAGGGGCGGACGCATGGACGAACGCAGGGACGGACGCACGAACAGACTTACGCACGGACTGGCGGATGGACGCATGGACAGCCACACAGACGGACGCATGGACGGACGGAAGCAAGAACGAATGAACGGACGAATGCTTCGCCCCACTCTCCATCATTCACTCCGTGGATATGCTGCCATTTTTTTTCTATTGGCATTCGTCGGGTCAACGTTCCCGATATAACATTTGTTTAACGCTCTCGCATTTAAATTACCATTGTCTGTTCTCGCCGTTCCTCGGTAGATATAAACTTCCGAACACGTACAGTAGTGCCTACCCGCATAAAGTTGCCCGTGTTATACGGACATGTGCTACACGTGTCTGGAGGAGAGCGTTTGACGTCGTATGCGATGAGATTTTCACATCAATCATGGTATGATCACCCCAACCTCTCCACAGCAAAACAGAACAGAACATGCCGTGATCAGACAATCATAATTTTCAAACCCTTTACTCTGCTAAGCAAAATTTGGTCTACCTTAAGTTAAGAACGTATTCACGAGTACATTCAGATGTGGGTGCATGGATAGATGGATATATATATATATATATATATATATATATATATATATATATATATATATATATATATATAATATATATATATATATATCGGCCGCTGTATACGAAAGAAAAAATTGGCAGCATATCCACGGAGTGAATGATGGAGAGTGGACGAAGCATATGTCCGTCCATTCATTCTTGCTTCCGTTCGTCCATGCGTAATTCTGTGTGACTTTCCATGCGTCCATCCGCCCGTCCGTTCGTGCGTCTGTTCGTGCGTCCGTCCCTGCGTTCGTCCATAAATCCGCCCCTAGCATCCCTTCATGCGTCCGTCCATGCATCTGTCTGTGTGTCCATTCGTCCATCTATTCAACACTACAAGTACCACCATCTCGCATCTTTTCATCATATATTCCCCATATAGAAGCATCGCCATCCAGCGGACATTCCAAGGCCTAAACGAAAGGTGGCACACGCACTTTCTGACGGCTTGCACTTCGGGTATACTTCCCACCTTTAACCACCTCGAGTTCATGGTATATACTACTTCTCTGTATTCCTGGCACTGCGGCCCAACGGTCGCTAAACCTTTCTAAAACCAAGGAGGTTAAACCCAGCGAGTATAACGTTGCAATCTTTTCTTGTCAGATAGTGCTCAATGTACATGCGAATGGCTGCTAACGGGCATCGCAGCGCGCGCGTTAACTAAAAGCCGAATGCTCCTGTCTCTCATTCGCCATTAGCAGACATTGACATGTAAATTGAGCACTATTTATCGTTCAACAACGCACAGAAGAAATCTTTCACAGGCACCACCTTGGAGGTCACAGGCACCTCCTTGGAGGTCCGTATGTATATAATAAATGAAAAAACGTTATACTGCTTACACACTACAACGGCTAGAACGGGTTGCTGCATCAGTGCTGCATCACTTTTTTTTTGTGAAGGAGGGATGCCAGACGCACTGAAAGCCACATGCGTCAAAACAATGCAGCGTGGCACGCGCCTGCGAGTATATGGCAGGACCTACGCCTGGCGTGGCAACGCCGGCGGGACGCGACAAAATGAACGCCCGCGAGCACGTGCGCGCACCACGTCACGTCGAAGTGTACTGGCACCTTGACTGTGGCATGTAGTCATGTTCTCACATGACGCGCATCTCATGATTATCATGTTTGCACCATGCAGTCACATAGCTTCGTCATCCATTGGCGTCACGGAATACCGAATTTGGCATATGTGAAGCTAGCGAAACGGCGGCGAGCACACCATCAGTGTGACATGTAGTCATGTTGTTATCATGTTAACACGCATATATTGATTATCATGTTTGGATGTGTTATTTACTTATGTCGTCCATTTGCGTCGCGTAATAACGAGTTTGGTACATGTGAAGTCGGCGAAACGGCTGCGAGTGCATCATTAGCGTAGCATGTAGTCATGTTGTTACATGACACGCATCTCATGTTTATCATGTTTGCGCCAGTATAATATCTTCGTCATCCATTCACGTCCCGCAATACCAAATTTGGTATAAGTGAAGCTAGCGAAACGGCGACCAGTGCATCATGAGCATGGCATGTATTCATGTTGTTACATGACACGCATGTCATGATTTTCACGTTAGTGTCTGTCACTTCTGTTCACATTACAATCATGCCATACCATACCAGTTTTGCAACAAGTCATGTGAACGAAACCACCGCAAGAGCAGAAAGACCATGAAATGTGAAACATGACATTCATAACATACATGTCGATTTTTATTTTATTATTAAGCTAATATGTTCTTCATACAGTCATGTTATGTCATACTAAGTTTGGTACTGCTACCATTATCGAAACGTCCAGGAGAGCTAAAAGTCGTAGATAGATAGATAGATAGATAGATAGATAGATAGATAGATAGATAGATAGATAGATAGATAGATAGATAGACAGATAGATAGATAGATAGATAGATAGATAGATAGATAGATAGATAGATAGATAGATAGATAGATAGATAGATAGATAGATAGATAGATAGATAGATACGGTCAAAGTCGCCGAAGTTCGCTAAGAAATGCTTTGCATTTAAAACTGGGATCTCAGACGGAGTCAAATCAATGTTCTGTTTTGACTAAATAATGGAGCAGTGTGTACAATGACGATTGCTTACAGCGAAATTCAGCTAGAGTTGGTTATAGCGATGGGTATAAATAGTGTCAACTAGTGTTGGCAGATTGATGAATGGTATCACTGTCACAGAACGAGCGCTCAAAAAGCGCGCGCCGCCAAATTCTCGCGACGAAACGCTAGAGTGACGCCGCGAGCTCAACGATAAAAAAAAGAAAACAAACATCGAAAGACTCCCCGGGCGCGCTACTTTCTCCCCTCGGAAGCGTGGGTTCGCCGACGAACCTCCTCTCATCGGCGCCAGTGCAAGCCCTCGAATGTTCTACATGGAAAGGGGCGGGGTGATGCCGGGTTAAGTCATCCGTCGCGGACGGCCTTCGAGCCGTCCCGCCCTCTCTCCAGCCTTCGCTGCGCATCGCGCCGACGAAATGATGAGAACTTTCTGGAATCGCGCGCGGAAGGT